CATGCTACAAATTCCCATCTTTCGACTGTTCAAGTTTCAGTATCTCCAGTCATGCCACACAATCTATTCTCATTACAGACAGGGTCAGGTAAGAAACAGAATTACCAAAAGCAAAAACACAATACTAGTAAAGTTGAATAATCTCCTTGAGTTTTGTCGATTTACATTCGTCATAAGCAACCAAAAGCAATTGGTTAATTTGTAAAACCCCTAATTGGTTAAAAACTCAATAGGATTTGCATTTCTTTGACAAACCAAGCATCTTCCCGGAACTACCAGTCACCGGAACAGCAACCGCCACGCCGTCGCAGTAAATGGTGAGGTATCTCCTTCTCCGGAAAGCTCCGTATCGGAAAGTGACAAAAGAGACCATCCTGAGGTCAAACTCTACGGTCCCCTTGGACGCTCTCTCTTTCGCGATGGAATCAGCCAATTTCCCGTCGACGTAAGTCCCGGAGACAGAGAGCGTGGCGTTGAAGGGCGTCTCATCTTTCTTCCCTTGATCGAAGGGCTGTAAACGCGTGTCGGAGAGAGACTCGCGGCGGTAATACACAGAGCAGAGGACAGTGTCGTAGTGAAGCGACATCTTGGAATTAGGGTTCCGGATGAGGAGACTGAGATCCCATTTACCGGAGACCTGATTGTTGGAGGCGTTGAAATTGGAGACGGAGAGAGAGTTGATGTAAACAAGGGGGAACTGGGGACGAACAACGAGGAAGAAGATGAAGAGGATCAGTCCTAATATGATGAGAAAAGCCATGAACACGATGAACAGACGGCGGATCAAGACGGCGCGTGGATTAGATTGCGCCGCGTAGTAAGGGTTATGGTTCTGGTATGGGTACCCGGCGGCGGCGGCTTGTTGTTGCGGATTCGGGTAAGGATACCCAGTGGCGGGTCTGGGATTCGGGTCTTGCTGCATAGCTTTCGATTTCCAAATCTAGGGCTTTCCAGAATCTGATTTTTTCCCCATCAACTTGAACAACACAAACTGCAAAACATCGAAAAATATGCATATTTTTATTACGCGTTTTTTCTTTTTTCTTCCTTTTATTTGTAATGAAAATTTCAAAAAATACCACTTTTCAAATGCTATTTTTTAAGTGTCACTTTACAGAAATGCTACACTTTTAAAATTTTTACAAAAATACTACTTAGATGTCGGTAGGGGTTGAGCTCGATGTAAGATAGACATGGATGTCGGTAAGAGCAAAGGGTGTGTAGACAAAGCCAAAGGACTCAAGCTTAARGATTAGTGTAAGAGGTGGAGCTAAGCTTCATGATCGTTTACCACTGCGATGTGKCTATCTCCTAAGRAYARTTRCGTAATRAGAAAAGATGATTGGGGAGAAATGTRTTCGAGAAGGTTTGCAAGGCTAACCACTTCAAACAAGTTAGTAAAGACGGTAAAAGACATGGTGTATACTTGTTGGGCTGCCAAAAGATTGGATGGATGTTCAAGTGGAAATCCTTGTGGAGTTGAGGAAGTTTTTATAAGACACAACGAAAGCGTGGAACCCAACTAGAAGAATATATTGGTGAGGTGCTAGGGAATCATAATGTCGGTGTTGATAGAAATTAACTCTTCTAGACAAGGGAGTCATATTCATGGATGAGGAATGGGAAGGACTGGTGGTCCAAAACCAAAGAAGTATAGATTTTTCTTTTCCAATGAAAGTCATAAGAGGTATGGAGAACATCTTGTGTCAACATGTTACTAGCGAAGCAAGTATGCAAATCCGATAATTGTAATGGGAATGTGACTCATCGGTCTAAAGGACAAGAAAATATTATACAGTACGAGGACATGGACAAGAATTGGATAACTCACAGAAAGTCATAGGGGTTGAGATATCATCCTATGATGACATATGCTAGTCAATGATGTTGTGGTGCAAATGCTGTATGGAAATCAGGTAAGTGCACAATGATGGATGAGTGATGATAACATAAGGAAGATCCCGATTAAACAATGGAAATGAACAAAGTGGCGCGATAAGACCACGGTGGAAGCATGGCAACGCATTATTCACTTGGATGTTCTACTGAATTGTTAATTGAGCAAGGAGTGCTTGTTAATTATTGCTAGTGCTAATTGAAATGAGGACTCATTTCAGTTAGATAAGTAAAGGCAAAATACCACTTTCAAATTTGTTGTTTAGGGATGATACTTCAAAGTTTGAATATTAGAATAAATGGATGAATGAAAAATCTTGTAGGGAACGACCTCCCTCACAATGTGTTTACATGCAAAAGTTTTAGCAATGAAACCTAGGCAGAAACGATATCATAATTATAAAGGTTAGTCAAGAAGCTCAAAAGTTGTGGGTTAAGACAATGAGACGATACTAGAGTACTAGTGGACGGTCGGGTTTGACTACCTTCCAGAGTAAAAATATGGGATATGGAGATGGTCTTTTCTTTGAAAAAAATGGTCTTCAGATGTTCGATAGTAAGCAATTGTGGATGTAACGGTGATGGGGTAAAGAGATGTTGCAGGAGGAAGGAAGAATTTAAGAGCGACAGAAATGCCATATCAGAATAGAAGAATTTTTTTTAGATAGTGTGACACGGAAGCGGAGTCGGTGTATCAATGCGTCTCTCAGAAGTACTTTTAGCTCCGTAAGGGCTCGAACCGGGTTCACTCATGTTT